CATTTGAAAGAATGCCCAGATGGCAATAAAATTCAACGGCCTCGTGCGGTTTTTTCAAAAGTTATTTCTTGATTTTTTAACGAATTTATTCACTACTTTACGAAACCACGAGGTATTTAACAAACGCACTGTATACAAACCTTATGTGTGAATTCAGCTTTCCAAGGTGATTCCAAAAATTGAATAATATATCTTGTCTCATTTAAAAAATTATCGCCGACGTCATTTCCCACATGTTCATCATCTCATCTCTATATACAGGGTGTCCCGAAATTAGACGGTCATGTTTTAATAGTGTAATCTACTTCCTAAAATAGGAGTAAAAGTTTATATAAACATAGGTCCGAAAACGTTTTGTTTCCGAGATACAGGGTGTTAAAAGTGAAGTCCTAATGACTCATTTTTGTAAATATTTTCTAAACTTTTAAAGATAACTAATTGAAATTTGGTACAACTGCTAAACTTTTTGCGCTCTATTTAATGAACTAAACGCCAGTTTGTGATCATCTTCATTAGGGGAGGGGCTTAGGGTTAAATTGTCCTAAGTTTTTTTGTTAACTGTTTTTAACATTTTTGACTATAAAATTTGGAAAACCAATATTTTTTTTATAATAAAGCTACTTTTGTTGTATTTCGTTAGGACGCGCCTTTTCAAAAGAAAAGCATTTGAAAATTTCATAAGTTAATAAACAATAATTAGTAGGCCTGTGGAATCAGAAATTTATTTTTTTTTATTTTGGGAAAACTGGAGACTAAAAAAATTTTAGAAAATATTTACAAAAATGTGCCTTCAGGACTTCACTTGTAACACCCTGTATCTCGAAAACGAAATTTTTGCCGACTTATGTTTATATGAACTTTTACTTCTATTTTAATCGTCTAATTTCGGGACACCCTGTATATAAAAGCGAAATACCACTCGCTGACTCATCACGAAAACTCTAAAACTATAAGACCAATTGACTTGAAATTTGGCGTAGTTACTCATTTCTCGACGTAGACCCACTAAGAAAGTATTTTATAAACATCATATTTTGAAGGGGGGAAACAGGGGGAGAAAGTTTTTATGGGAATATCGAATTTTTAAAGGTAGGAACATATAAATTGGATTTGTACCTCCTCATCATAAATAAATAATGACGCAAGCAGAGGTTTTGCATTTTTACATTTTAAGGGGGGGGGGGGGGGTAAATGGAGGATGAACGTTTGTATGGCAGTATAGATTTTTTAACGGTAGGAAGTTGAAAATTGGAATTGTAGCTACTCTTCGTAAATAAATAAAGTCATGTATTTTAAAGCGGGAAATTGGGGTGAAACTTTGTAGGGGGTATCGATTTTTTAAAGGTAGGAACTTGAAAATTGGAATTGTAGCTACTCATCATAAATAAATAATGACGTATTTAATTATTTTTGGATTTTTACATTTTAAGTGGAGGATATGGGAGTGAACATTTGTATGGAAGTATAGATTTTTTAAAAGTAGGAACTTGAAAATTGGAATTGTAGCTAATCATAAAAAAATTATTACGTATTTCAGAGCTTTTGGAATTTTAAATTTTAAGAGAGGGAATCGGTAATGAAAGTTTGTAGGGAAGGGGGGGGGTGATTTTTATAAAGGTAGGAATTTAAAAGTGGAATTGTAGCTCCTCCTCATAAATAAATAATGACCTGTTTCAGGGGGAAAACTATAGTGAAATAAAAATAAATATAAATAAAAACGAATAAAAATACTTAAGGTGATTACAGCACCCCCTTATAATTTTCGGTCAATGATATCTCAAAAAGTAATTTTTTTAAAAAATTAAAATTTTGTCAAAATAAATTAGGCAATAATATCTAGAATATGCATATATTTTAACATTTTAATTCCTTTCAGTTTCCGAGAAAAAAATCAAAGGTCTTTAAATTTTGAAATATCATGATGAAAATAAATGCATTCCTCAACAACACTATTCTAATTATAATCCCAAAATTTGAGCTCTTAATGTCTTGTTAATGATTTTTTAAAATTCGCCAAAATTAGTGGCTAAAATGCCTGTAATAATTAACAACACACTAGTCCAACTTCTTACGCCCTGGTATGAAAAATATGAGGAGTGAATTGATAAACGACATATCTCGATGTCCCGACAACCCGACAGCCTAAGGGAGGACTGCTTTTCTCACAGACAGTTTTATTTGACCTAGATTACTCTACTTAACTCTAATCTACATATAATACTATCACATTAATACCATGAACCCTTCTTTTTTGGGCAGTCATGCATTTTTTTTATATTAAAAACACGACTACGCGTGTGAAGCCGCGGGCAACACCTAGTATAATATACTTTTTTGTTCAAAATATAGGCCAGTAAACAGGTAAAAAATTTAACATTAATTCTAAAAATTTTTAATCTTCGTGGTAAGACAAAGTACCGAATGAATCGAAATTAGCCGATTTTACAACATTGTCAAAAATGACAAAAAACGAAAATAATGGTTTGCTTGACGCTTAAAACTGTAAAATAACTGCAAATTTGATTTTCATTTGAATATTTAAGATCTAAGCTGCACGTATAACTCCGGCAAAGTAATCAATTGCTGTTAATTAACATTATTTTGATCTCATTGATAGTCTAGAGAAGAAAGGAGTGCAATAATTTAATTTGCAGAACGTATAGGTTCAACAGGTACATTTTATTTATACCTCATCCTTCATTGCTTATTTGTAGTTAAAATGAAAATTTTAATACATCTGATCGCCCTAATAAAAGTTTTTCGTTTAGATTTAGCCTGTTTCCATGGTTTTTACGGTAAGCTTTTATTTAGACAGATAAGTCATACTTTATTTATTCACAGCCGTATCGTATGTATTTTAATTAATTCGGAATTTTGTATTAGTATATATTATAATTTTACAGTTATATAAGAATGGCGAGTGCATTAGAAAATATTACAAGCACAAGTACGCGTAAGCGACCTAGTGATCATTATCTTGAGAAGAAAAAAATATCTTACTAAATGTATTTAATAATCTTCGAAAACACTTTGTTTCACTTTCTATGGATGAAATAGCCACTAAATGTAAGACCTATATTGGAGAATATAAGCGGACAGTGTATAAAATAATTAAAGAAAAATTTATTGCAGAAGTCTCAAATCCGAAAATCCCCAGGAAGAAACAAGACCTTTATTGAAACTTGGGTAAAGAATGTAATATGGCAACTGGTACATTCTTTTTTCTTTTGAAATGAAATTCCTGCATTCAAAAAATTACACTCAGAAATAGAAAATAGTCCCACTCTTCCAAATATATCATAATTATTTTCATCTGCAAAAAATATTGCATGAATTAAATTTTCGTTACAAAAAAACGTGACAGAAACAACTTTTTAACAGAAAAAGATAAACTCATTGCGTGGAGACATGATTATTTAAGGAAAATAGCTGACACAAGGAATCGGCATAAACAGGTATTTTATTTAGATGAAACATGGGTTAATGCTGGACATACAGTAACACAAATTTGGCAAGATACCTCTATCAAAACTAAAGAACAAGCCTTTATGGAAGGGGTCTCTTGTTGATTACAAAATCCAACAGGAAAAGAAAATCGTTTATTAATAACCCACATTGGAAGCACCGATTGATTTATGCCAGATTAATGTTCGAATCAAAGAAAACATGAAGAAATGGATGGCCCTATGATTGAAAATTGGTTTCAGAACATTATAAAAAAAGTCCTTGTTAATTTTAAAAAATGCATCATGTCATCATCGGAAAGAATTGCAAATTTTCACACTGTTAAGGAGACATTAGCGAGTATATTGTGATTTTGCAAGCATGTTAATATTTTGGTTGTTAAATGAGATCAAATAATGTTAATTAACAGCATTTAAATATTTGGCCGGAGCCATAAGTCAAAAGATATTTGTATGTCTCTACTTAATGGCCTAATATGGAAAATTAAAATTTAAAATCGACCTTTTTCGGAAATTCCTTAAAAATGAATTTATTCTCTACTTTACAAAAGCACTGTATTATGTATTGATTTTATTTAAGTATACAGTTTACTTAAATGGCATCAAATATATTTCAAAAAATAATTTTTCAAAACACTACATCTTGAAAATGAAAGAAATTATCACATGCGCCCATAAGAACTTTTTGTATCATATAATTGCACGAAGATTCAATCTTTTGAATATTTCAGATTGTTTTGAAAGCACCCTGTATGCGGCTTCACAATTTTATTACACCACATTTTCAATAATCGTCGACTCTTATACTGTTAAAGAACGTTTTCAGCTTTTCGTCTCATCTTTTATATACGCTAAAAAATGAAAAGGGTATAATTTCTAAACTTACATAAAATTTAAATAACATTCAAAATTACTATTAATTGTAACTGTTCTGTGAAACCTAAGTAACGCCTAGTAGCCGTTGTTTATACATTTAATTTTACTATCTATTATTGGTAGCGATAAAAAACGTCTGTTGTCGTACTGGTGCCTGTACATATTTCTTTTTACATACACCGTCGTTTTTATGTGATTCGTCGATATTTTACTACACGTTTATCAGTGTGACTACCTCGGAAATCACCGGAAATTAACCTAAAAATTCAATTAGTTTTTAAAAATTTTAGCATTCGTAATTTTAGATTTGTTCTTTTTTTTTTGTTGTCTGATATTTTGTATTTTAATCACCTGAAAGTATATTATACATTTTTAGTACATAAAGAAGTGTTTTTATTTGTGTGTTAAGAGTTAATTTGTTTTAAGTGATTTGTTTTATATTTGCTTAGTTCTTGTCTACTTATGTGATTTAGTATTTTGTCTTTTAGAAATAAAAATATAGCCCCATATATAAAAAAAAAACAGAAACATCAATATTTGTACGGTTTTGAAGTGAACAAAAACCCGCTTGTCGAATATTAAAAATGATACTAGTTTTACCGAACTCGAACCGCGTAAATTACATACCACTTAAATTTCCTCCTTTTGGTCATCCCTTAGCTGCTACTCCAGCGGACGACGCCATCCCGTTGGATTTGGATAGCGTTGCCGAGAAGAAGCCCTACGACGTGGAGCTGCTCTCCACGAAATTGTTGCATAGCAAGTACAACGTGTATATACCAAATTACAGAAGTACCATTGATGAAAAGGTGAGTTTTTTTATTAAAAAATTTGAGTGCATTATTATTGCTTTCTATAATCTTTGTTTCTTTCATATCAAATAATAGATACCTATTTCTTTTCTAATTTCCTATGAAGATTAAGATATTTCTGGTTGAGATTCTACAGTCATTTTGATCCAAATTTTTTGCATGCTTTTTTTAATGAGCCGATTCATATTTTTCGAGATTTCGAACTTAGGTAAGACAATGTTTTAGATCAAAATTATTTAAATGAAATGGAAACAAAAAGTATTCACAAGATTTGCAATAATCAAAAATCAGTTTTAGAACGCCATCTTCAGATAGCTTTTGGTTCCTTAAAAAGAAGCATTTTAGGGTATACTCTTATTTGTTCATTGTAGTTTAAGGCTGATAAATTGAATTAAAATGGCAGTCGTTTTCGTAAGTTAACAATGGTCATTTTTTATAATAAAAAAAATTGAGATTTAATCTTCTATAAAATTGTTTGTCCTGACTGACTGACTGACCTATCAGCGTACAGCCAAAACTACTGAACCTAGAAAGCTGAAATTTGGAACATAGGTTTATTTTATAACGTAAGCATCCGCTAAGAAATGATTTTTGGAAATTTTAACTTTAAAGGGGGTAAATGGGAGGAGGGAGCTTTTAATGAAACTCTTTGGTCTTTAAAGTTAGAAACATGAAAATTTAAATTACAGCTACTAAGCATAAAAAATAATACGTGTTTCAGGGTTTTGGATTTTCACATTTTAAGGGAGGGAAACGGGGGTGAAAGTTTGTATGGGACTATCGATTTTTTTTTGTTCTCTTTGAAGTTAGAAACATGAAAATTGGAATTGCAGCTAATGAATACAAATTAATAATGACCTGTTTTAGGGTTTTGGGATTTTCACATTTTAAGGGGGGGGGGGGAAAGGGGGGTGAAAGTGTATTTAGAAATATCGATTTTTTTTTTAAAGGTAGGAACTTGAAAATTGGAATTGTAGGTTCTCATCATAAATAATAAAGTGTTTCAGGGTTTTTGCATTTTAACATTTTAAGGGGGGAAATGGGGGGTGAAAATTTGTTTAATAGTAGGTATGTATATATTTTTTTGTTATTTAAATTTTGAAACATAAAAATTTGAATTACAGCTATTGGTTTAAAATCAAAAATAATGTGTTTCATGGTTTTGGATTTTCACATTTTAAGGGAGGAAAACGGGGATGAAAATTTGTATAGAAGTATACATTTTTTGAACGTTGGAACTTGAAAATTATAATTGTAGCAAAAATAAATAATGACGTGCTTTGTGGTTTTTAGATTTGTGTATGGTAGTATCATCGAAACAAAATTTAAAAAAAAATAATTATTAAAAATTGATAAAAACGAATAAAAACGAATAAAAACGAATAAAAACGAATAAAAACGAATAAAAATTAATAAAAATAAATACAAACTAATAAAAATGAATAAAACTGAAGAAAAATGAATAAAAATAATTAAAAAATGAGTAAAAATAAATAAAAATTAATTAATATGAATAAATATAAAAAAATTAATGAAAATCAATAAAACTAATAAAAATTAATAAAAAGTCATGTATTTTTTTAACCGACTTCAAAAAAGGAGGAGGTTATCAATTCGTCGCGATATTTTTTTTTTATGTATGTTCAGCGATTATTCTTTAACACGGTGTCCGATTTCAATAATTCTTTTTTTTTAGAAAGGGGGTATTTCAGGGGTGGTCCCATATAAATTTAGTCAAAATCTAATAATTGGGTCCATGAGAAAATCCTCAAACTCTTCATTTTTTATGTATGTTCAGCGATAATTTTTTAACACGGTGTCCGATTTCAATAATTCTTTTTTTGTTAGAAAGGGGCTACTTTAGGGGTGGTCCCATATAAATTTGGTCAAAATCTAATAATTGTATCCATGAGAAAATCCTCGAAACTCTTCATTTTTTATGTATGTTCAGCGATAATTTTTTAACACGGTGTCCGATTTCAATAATTCTTTTTTTGTTAGAAAGGGGCTACTTTAGGGGTGGTCCCATATAAATTTGGTCAAAATCTAATAATTGTATCCATGAGAAAATCCTCAAACTCTTCATTTGTTATGTATGTTTAGCGATAATGCTTTACCACCTTGTCCGATTTATACGATTCTTTTTTTGTTAGTAAGGGAGTACCTCAGGGGTGGCCTTATATAAATTTGGTTAAGATGTGGTGATGGCATCTGCACGTTTTTGAAGTCGGTTTTTTTAAATTTTTAATGTGTAATACTTGTATTTTTATAATAACAACAGCTAGTAATTTTTATAAATTGCAGTGTTGTAAGAATGAATTGAACATAAACATATTCCACGATAACTTACTAACCATAAATCATCAGTAATATATATCATTAAAAACTTGTAATTGCAATGACTAAAAAAAAAAGATTTTCAATCAATTTTCTATTATTTTTTTATTATCTTGGATAATTACTACAAAAAAGCCTGATCTCAATTTACAAATTTTGACACAATATTTAAAATTGACTCGTTAATTATCAAAGTACCACTCAAATCGTCATTTTAATACACCGTTTCACTACCAATGCGACTGCGCAAGTATGAACTAACATTATGTATTTGAACTTTGGTGAAAACTAAGTCTAGATATAAATGATTTTTGATTAAACAATTAAGTTGTAAACTTTATTACACAAACAGTTCGTCAGAAGATTGATAATTGTTTAAAATTTTATGACAATAGTATATTACATTACGAGTGTGGAAAACACAAGTGATGTACAATATTTTTCCTATGACCACAAAATAATTATATCAAAAAAATTATATTCCAGGAAATCTGGCTATGAAGGTTTCTTCAAGATGTGGCTGGTTTTAGATTCCTTTTTTTATATGCCTTATTAAATAAGTTTTAAAGTGATTCACAGATGGTGTTTAGTCAAAATTAAAAACATTTGGATTCCATTTACAACCAATTTCATAAGATGATAAAGATAAAATTAACATTATTTACAAAAAAATATTAGAATACAGTATTTTTCATTAGTTTATTGTTTTCTAAACAAAAAACATGAACAACCGTGAACAAAAACTTTTTTATTATTAACGATTACCCACTTATCTACTTTTTTTTCTGAACATTAATTACAATAGTACAAAATAAATAGCGAAAAGATTAACTGTAGGGGTTATATTATGATAAATAACATATATTTAAAGTAAATAAACAACAAGAGTCGTATTTTTTAATTTTCTCATTAAAATAAAAGGTACTTCATCGGGAATTGAACCAGCGTCACGAGATCGTCGCGAAAATCAATGTTGACCCTACGAACTGCGCTATTAGGTTTTTGTCAAAAAAATTATCTAATCAAATATGTATATGAGTCAAAAAAAACAAATAATGTAGGTAGTTACTTTAAAATTATTTTAATAATTTGTTAAAAAGAGCTAATAAGATCTAGATTTAAAAATTAATATTAATTTTATCATTAAATCTATTTTACTATTAATATGGACATTACATCTATCAAAATAGACGTCTGACATATTTGACAGCTTATAAGGAAAGTAGATTTATATTCATACACGGATGATTGAAAGTAGATTCTTAACCATACGCGTGTGACTATGGGTCACTTCCCATATGATTAAATAGTGCGATAGGTGTCACTTTCCTAAGTGGTCGTAGGAAAAAATATTAACAGTCGGTTGTTTATTTTTGGAATTCACATTATAATCGATGAAATCGATTGTTAATTTTCTGAATCGATCAAAGCATGGCCGATCTTATTTTTGTCAGATTGTATTTTTATAAATATGTGCATTTGAAAGAGATATACCAATATACCTAATTAGACATTTAAAATGATTATTTTATTATCGAAATGAATCGAGAAATTATTCAAATAAAATAATAAATCGAGTAGTTTAGCTAAAACCATAAAATAATAAATTATACCACCCAACCATAAACAAACTTTTACCCCAAATTATGAAACATTTCAAAAATTGCGAAGTGATAAGATAACTTATACTGGAATAGTTCAAATGACCCGGTTCTATAGGATTATATAGTTTATAATGATCGTGAAATAAATATAGTTTACAAGTGATATAATATAGCCAGAACTATGAATACACATTGAAACATTATTTTAAAATCAAATTTGCTGATTTTTTGTTTTTATAAAATTGAAATGGGCCACCCTAATTTTATGTTCTAAAATCGGCGTCCGTAGATTTGGCAATCTTGATATAGAAATAAGTGCACTTGAAAGGTCAAATTATAAATGGAGCTAGTAGTACAGTTCTCGCCATCTATATTGAAGATTTGCTTGTTACGTAACCGCTGGCCCAATTAATTGTCGCGCTTTTCTGTATCTTTAACGTGCGGCGGGTGGGTTGCATCACGAAACTTAAGCCTCACTTCGCTCATTGTGCATCCTTCAAATTGATAGGCTCCTCTTAGCTCGTCAGCCAGCCTACAGATTTGATGTAGTTGACAATATCACCGAGAAGAGATCGACCGGTTATCTTGCTCTTAAAATTGGTTGTAAAATTACCAATTACTTAAGAAACACCCTGTATATATAGAAAAGGATTGGTGGAAAATCCGTCCCTATTGGGAGGTAAACAACGGTGAGTAATGATTAAAAAATAGCGTTTACTTTAAATTTAGAAATACAAAGAGGTTGTAATTGTTATTGTTAATTTATTAATATATAGTCCTTTAAAAGTAAAGAGATACGGTATTTTTCTGCCTCTTTATCTGTAAGGTGGCGGAAGGTGGGTTGCTCCACAGCACTTAGGCCTCAAGGCCCAATCTACTTCTTCCAGGGACTTGCCAAAACCTGCTGGTTTTCGTTGAAAGGGGTCTAGAGACGGCCAACTGATTGGCGCTGAGAGGTGTCTAGAACAGGTATCTTCTCAGCTCGTCAAAGTCCTCCAGGTTATCAACTCTTCAAAAACCTACTGGTTGTAGCTGGAGGGTATCTAGAGATAGACA